AACGATAACACAGAACACCCTACCACCTTCAACATTCCCCCCTCCTGGCCCCTGGCAAGCAGGGGTCTGTTTTCCACCCCATCCGTGTGACTGTTCCAGAGTTATGTACATGAGCCATGTCCACAGCATTTGAATCGGGAGTGTCCCCCGTGGCAGGAGTGCGTGAAATTCACACACGTTGAGCGTCTCAGTACCTGCTTCCTTCTGTTGCTGAGTAGGGCGCTCCAGCGGCTACGTGCACACAGGTGGGTTATCAATCTCCAGCTGAAACACATTTGAGCTGTTTCTAACTTCACATAATTTAGAATAAAGCCCCTGGAGCATCTGCACACCGATTTTTACACGAACGTACGTCCGCAGTTCTCTAGAACAACTGCCTGGGAGAGGGATGGCTGGGTCCTATGGAAAGTATGCGTTTAACTTTCGGAGAAACTGCCAGTGTCGTCCAGAGAGGCTGGGCCACCTTGCATCCCACGAGCTGCGCGTGAGGGTCCGGTCGCTCTGCCCCTCGCCAGGGCTGGTGTCGTCCTGTGCTTCCTGTTTCTGTAGCCATTCTAGGAGGGAGGTCGCGGTGGTCCCTGGCAGCTGCCCAGGGACGAGCGCTGTGAGTGTGTGCGCACTGGCTTGTTCATCGTCCACGTGCCTGCTTCGAGGGGCCTCCCTTCAAGTCAGGTGTCCTCACCGGAGGACACTTTTCCTTTTTTGTTCAGATAGAGCGGGAGGGAGGGAGGAAGAGAGAGACAAACATCAACATGAGAAGGACGCATCGAGTGATCGCCTCCCACTCCACCCCAACCAGGGCCGGGGACGAATCGCAGCCGAGGTACGTGCCCTTGGCCGGGATCGAACCCGAGACTCATTGGTCTGCGGCCGACGCTCTGACCACTGAGCCAAACCGGCCAGGGCTTGCCGTTAATTTCTTGGATTGTTGTTTTTTTTTTTTATGATTAAGCTTTGGGAGTTCTTACATATATACTGGATGTAAGTCCTTTATCAGATATGTATTTTGCATACATTTTCCACCAGCCATGGTTTGTTTTCCTTCTTTTGTTGTTTTAATCCTCACCCGAGGATATTCTTCCATTATCTTCAGACAGAGTGGGAGGGAGGGAGAGAGGGGGAGAGAGAAAAACATTGACGTGAGAGTTGCCTCCCACTCGACTCTGGCCAGGGCCAGGGACGAACCACAACCGAGGCATGTGCCCTTGACCAGAATTGAACCCGTGACTCCGTGGTCCACCGACCAACGCTCTAACTGCTGAGCCAAACTGGCCAGGGCTGATGGTTTGTCTTTCTATCTTGAGAGTCTTTTAAAAGCAGAAGTTTTGCCCTGGCCAGTTTGGCTCAGCGGTTAGAGCATTGGCCCGTGGTCTGGAGAGACCCGGGTTCAGTTCCCACTAAGGCCACGTACCTCAGTTGCGGTTTGTCCCCGGCCCTGGTTGGGGTTGTGTGGGTGGCAATTACTCGATGTGTCTCTCTCGCATCCATGTTTCTCTCTTTCTCTTCCCCCTCTCTCCCTCCCACTCTATCTGAAGAAAAATGTCCTTGGGTGAGGATAAAAAATAAAAGCAGAAGTTTTAAATTTTGATGAAGTCCAGTTTTCCGTTTGTTGATCGCATATTTGTTGTCATTTCTGAGTCTTTCCCTCACCTGAGGTCACGGAGATTTTTCCGTTTCCTTGTCAAGTGTGACACTTTGGGGTTCACCTTTGGAGTTACTGTGCATTCTGGGGTCACTGCTGAGTACGGTGTGAGGTGTGAACCGTCTCCAGGTGACTCGGTCACCCCTGGCTGTCACGCAGTATCGGAGAAAGGACTCGGGTCGGAGAACCGAGAGGGGCTGACCTCGGCCCTGCCCCAGCCGGATGCCCCGCAGCAAACCCCCGCCCGTTGCCGCAAACCCACCAGCGCCGGCCTGAAACAGTGGGAGCCCAGGGTCTCACAGTCCCGGAGGCCAGCTCTCCACCAAGGCGTGGGCGGGGCCGCGCTCCCTCCGCAGGCTGCAGGGGAGGGTCCCCCGGCCTCCTCCAGCTCCTGTGGCTCCAGGGTTCCTGGGCTCCTGCCCTCGTCACCCCATCTCTGTCTCCCCACGTGGCCTCTGTGTCTGTCGCCCTCTTTTCTCCTGTGAAGACATTTAGGGTGGACCCTAAATTTTATCCCGAGGTAGTTTTATCTTGAGATCTTTAACTTGATCACATCTGCAAAGACCCTGGACACACCTTTTTGGGGGACACGAGTCGGCCCCCTGCACCCTCGTGCCTCTGCGGCCTCGTCTGAAAGATGGGCCTCATCCCAGCACTTGCCTCGGGGGTTAGGAGGGTGAGGGGCGGTCGTGGGCGTAAGTCTGTAGCACAGCACCTGGCGGACGGGTTGATCTTGTCTGTCACCCACACGTGGAACGAGGGTGACAGGCAGAGTCCTGTACCTGCCCCTCCAGCTTCAGATCCGTGTGTTGTTCTCACTTGTCAGAGCTGCGGTTCTGGGCCCAAAGCAGTCATGCTGGTGGCATACGGATTGTGACATAAATGTTGCCTGTGTTCTGTCACCAGCCCAGTGTGAAGGGGAGGTGAGGATGGCAGTGTCGGGTGCAGCCAAGGCTGCAGCTGTGTGTCATGTGACAGCCAGGAGAGAGGCCGTCAGCTGCTGTTTCTGCCCTGAATTCTGGGTGGACTCGGGGCCGCCGGGCATGTTCAGGGCTCACAGGGACCGGCTCACAGGGACCAGCTCAGCACACACAGCCGCTCCGCACACGCAGGTGCACCCTCCGCCTGCCGTCTGAGCCCATGGGCAGCTGGAGGCCCTGGGGATGCCCCCAGGCACCACAGGACTGCAGACATCGAGGCAGGGGAGGGAGCCCTTCTAGGTGGGAGCTCAGCTCCGGGCTCGGGGTGGACACAGGAGGGAAGTAGAACAATAGCTCACTCACCGGACGCTTCCTAAGCAGGTGAGCTTAGCACCTTTGAAATCAGGCTAACCTGGGACGGGGAGAAAATACCAAACTCAGGGTCTGGATACTGATAGGCCATTGGGCTGGGGGATGAAGTTAGGGTGGTCCAGGCTTCTGGGTGGCTGGGTGGACAGTCGGGGCTCAGTGTGACGGGAGCAGGAGGGTGGAGTCACAGTCCTGCCGATACAAATCCTGCCTGAGATTTCGGGAGCACTCCACCTGAGCCTGCCAGGCGTGGGCTAAGCTCTTGGCATGCATTGTCCTTACAACCCTACGAATAAATTGTTATTATTCCAGTTTTTCAAAACGGAGGCAAAGAGCTCAGTAACGTTGTGAACTCGGCCCCAGCCACACTGACCTGCTCCCTGCTTCGGCATGCACCCCGGCCGGCGCTTCCTTTTCGGGGCTCAGACAACCGGTGGGGGCATTACCCCAGCTCCCAATCCTGTCCCTGCTACGGACCAGAGAGGTGTTTGTACGTAAAGGAACGTCGATACAGCCCTGGGCAGTGTGGTCAGTGGGTGGGGCGTCGTCCTGTGCACTGACGGGTCGCTGGTTTGATTCCCAGTCAGGGCACACACCTGAGTTGTAGGCTTCATTAATCCCCAGTAGGGGGCGTGCAGGAGGCGGCCGATGGATGTTTCTCTCTCTCTCTCTCTCTCTCCCTTTTCCATCTTCTCTCTCTAAAAATCTATTTTAAAATCTTTAAAATTTTCCAAAACAAAGGAATGTTGATACAAACCTTATTTCAAACGGGTTCAGCTAGTGCGTAAGACACATCTGAGGTTTGCACTTCCCAGCTGTGTGACTTCCTTCACCACTGTCCCTCTCTGAGCCCCATCTGAAAGATGTGCCAAATGATGGCATGATCCTGGGAGCTGTGGTGAAGATGGGAGAATCCGAGGGGAAAGAATGTTCTGAGTTTCAGGCGAATGGAGAGTCTCGCTAGAAGGCAACTGGCATTTGGCCGCAGGGCAGACTCAGGTGTCCAGCTGCTGACCCAGAGCCCAGGTGTGAGCATCTGTGTCTCCCCTCCCTCACCCGCCTCGCCCGCCCGTCCTGTTCCCACGCTGTCTGCATGTCGGTCTGCAGATTGGGTGAAGACGTCTTTCATCACAACATGTCAGGTTCCCTGGCACAGGTTTTGGCGGCTCTGACAACTGTAAAATGGAATTCTGTTGCAAATTAATTTGCTAGAAATAATACACATTTCACTAGACTTTCCTGGAAGCCAAATTGAGCAATTAGACGTTAGGGTGCACCCTGGCCTAGGGAGGTGGGGTGAGACAATGAGGCGAACCCACCACTCAGCACCCTGGAGAGTGGCAGGGCCAGGGACCCCCAGGACCACTGCCGGGCCCCTAAAGAATAAGCATCCGCACACCTGGGGGCACCGTCTGCCGGGGGGCCACGGCGGTGCCTCCATCTTTCAAATCTGGGGGAAGGTCAGGTAACAAAATTAGCTGTTTGCAAGCACGTTTCCGTGGCATTCGGTACATTCACGGTGCCGCGTAACCACCGTTGTCCAGGTCCGGAACAGTGTCGTCACCCGAGGCCGCGAGGCCACCGCTCCGTCCCCAGCCCCTGGCCACCCTCCGCCTCTATCTCTGGGCTCGCTGGTGGCTTCCAGCCGTGCTGCTGAAGCACACGTTCCTGGGCTCCGACCGTCCCTGCTGCTCAGGGCGCCTGGCCCAGGCTTGGTGCCAGGGCAGTGCCCTTTATCAGAGTCCTCAGCCCCTTGGTGTGGCTTCTTCATCCCGGCTGGACTTCGCCCCGCCCCCGCTCCGCAGGCCCATGTGATTCGTGCTCCACCAGTGCACCTGTGGCAGAGGCTGCCCGGCTCCGGCCTCCACCGCACACCTGGGGGCACCGTCTGCCGGGGGGTCACGGCGGTGCCTCCAGGAAGCCTGCAGCTCTTCGCAGCCAGCTCGGCTCTCAGAGGGAAGCAGGGGCGGAGCCTACGGAGTGCTGGCCTTACAGTCCCGCCCCAGTCCCCTCCCGGGGCGGAGTGTAAGCCGAGACATGCGGTGGCATCTCTGTCCTGTCTTTGGCAGCCCCGGAGGTGTTCCAGGTGTATGTGGACGGAGGCCCGGGGTACTCGTACCCTGTTGACTGGTGGTCCCTGGGCGTCACCGCGTACGAGCTGCTGCGAGGCTGGGTAAGATGTGCGCACGGGGCGGGGGCGGGGCAGAGGGTGCTCGGGTCCTACCGGCTTGGGTGGAGGAGGCACGCCATCCCATGGGGTGGCCCGGGGTGGCAAGAGGGAGCCCTGTGTCAGGAGTCAGAGGCCTGGGTGTCAGTCCTGATGACCTGGGTGCCGGCTCTGAGGGCCCTGGGCATTAGCGTTCGGGCCAGCCCCATTCCACTCACGGGAAACAGATGTCCGGAGGCAGAGGTCCTGTGCTGAGGTCAGCGCTGGTCAGCGGCAGCTCAGATGCAGGACGTCCTTATCCGGGTGATTTCAAACGCTGCCGGTCACCCACAGCGGACGTACCCTGCCTCACCTTCCAGCTTGGTGTGCACCTTCTCGGGGTATGGGCCTGCGTCTTTCACTCCTTCTGTTGGTTAGCCTGTCCAGTCTTCCCTGAATACCCAGTTCTGTGCCGCACAAAAATGGGGCGTTCAGCACATATTTTCACTTTATTTTATTTCAATGCAATAGCCAAAGGTGGAGAATGCGGCTCTTTGGCAACGAATAACTCACCGTTTTCTTTGAGCAGAAGGAATGGCGACAGATGAACTTTGAGGTGTGTTTTCTTTGCACAAGGGTTGTTTGAAAAGGATGCCACCGACCTCCAGGACACGGTTTCCCGTGCGCACCGTGGGGACAATCGCATCCGTTCAGTCCGTTCTGTGCAGCCGCAATCATGGCGTTAGTTGCCATGGACGGGGCGTGTGGTTCACAGGTCACTCACCCGCTAGCTCTGCGGCTCAGCACTGAGCAGGCAGAAAACCAGCCGCACTGGCCCCAGTTCTGTGGTGCTCCACAGCCGACCACGCCCAGCACCTCCGGCCCCGCCCCCTGTGGGCGGGGCTGCACAGGGACATCAGGTGATGAATGAACACGTGAACAGACCGGTTCGCACTGTCGACACCCCGAGTGCAGTAGCTATTCATCACCCTGCAGCTCAAGCAGCGGTTACCTGCTCTTGAGCTCAAGTATTTCCCCTGAATTCCTCAAAAAAGTCGGTACTGTACACGGTGCTGTTAGAATGCAAAAAAAATGTGAGTTTGTTGGTTTCCTCCAGCTCTGAAAGGAGGGTTAGTGTTCCACTGGCTCGCTCATTCCTGGCCGGTTCCTTGGTCGCGCGCTGGTTCCGTGGACACATGACCTCGGAGAAGGAGCAAGGGCCCAGGATACGTGTGTGAACCGGAGGATGCCGGTGTTCGCCGGGTGCCGGTCATCTTGCATAATCAGTCATGCAGTGGCCTTGGCGAGCAGGTGACCTACGCACGGCTGGGCATTCACCAGGAGAGAGCACCTTCTCCGTCCTTCCTCTCGGGCCAGAACAGTCAACGATGACTACGTGGCCCAAAGCCCCAAGGATGGAGTGGTCTCTGCTGCTTCGAAGAGAAACTGTCATTTTTGACTCATCTGAGTTGTTTTGTTCTTTTTTATCCTCACCCGAGGACATTTTTCCATTTTTTGTTCCAATAGAGTGGGAGGGAGAGAGAGAGAGAGAGAAACATCGATGTGAAAGAGACGCAATGAGTGGCTGCCACCCACACGACCCAATCAGGGCCGGGGACAAACCGCAACCAAGCTACGTGCCCTTAGCGGAAACCGAACCGGGTCTCTCTGGACCACAGGCTGACGCTCTAACCGCTGAGCCAAACCAACCAGGGCTCATCCGAGTTTTTTTCTCAGCGATCCGATGCCACTGTCCGTGGAGGAGGGCGAGAGGCAGTGGTAGGAGCAGGGCTGTGGGAAGGACAGCGAGCGGAAGACCACCTGCTCGTGTGGTCCACGCCCCCTGCGTACTGGTCTGGCTCCACCTTAGACCTGAAACACAATGGTTTATGCACACAGTTTAGTCTGTTTTTCATACTGGAAAGAATCACCTTATGTCAAAAAGTTACACTGAAAAACACTCATATTCATCCGTGGACGATGTGAATCCTCTCTCCTCAGAATTTCCTCATCATGTCAGTGACAGCATCCCTGACAGACGATCGCCCTTGATTCCCTCAAAGGTTCGGGGAGCTCCTTACCTCCCTCCAAACATGAAAGAAGTCAGGACGGGAATTGTTGAGCACGTGTTCCAAGTTCTTGGATCTGGAAAATGTTAGAGACGGGAGGTGGGAAACTGAGGTATTAATGTGGCCTGTGGGCCAGGGGCCCAGGAGTACTCCAGCCCCGGCAGGCACAGGAAACAGACATCTCCCCAGAGGCTCGGCAGGGAGAGCGGAGGATGGTGTGTCGTCGGTGGGCTTCCGTCTCACTGCGGAGACCCCGGAGCCTGGCTGCGTCTTGTAGCCAGAAACATGAATAGACCAGCTTCTCTCTGAGCCCAAACGAGCTGTCCTCACCCCAGAGACCTGCTGCTGAAAAATACCCAAGGAAGTGCCCCCCGGAGTGGTCCCTTTTAGAGCACAGGTGCCGGGACTGTGACCTCACCCTGAGTGGAGCCCCCTGGAGGCACGTGAGCAGAAGAGTCCTGCCCCCCGGCCCAGAGAAGGGACCTCCAGACGGTGCCCTGCCCTCCCCACACCTGCCAGTTGCCTGCCCGCGTCCCTGCCAGCTCACCTCCTGTTCGCTGCTGTCCCTGCGTCCAGGGAGCTCCTCCCTCCAGAAGGAACGCTGCTTCTCTGGCAGCGCTGTGGCTGGACGGATGTCCCTCTCACTCGGCTGAAGGCTGCCTCCTCGTAGCAGGACGGAGGATCTGGGCGGAATCCGCGGCTCCAGTCCCTGGCTCCAGTCCTTGGCTCCACCAGCCGCCGTCAGTGAGCTTAAGGCCGGGAAACAGACCAGGTGCTCAGAGTCTCCATCTCCTGAAAAAAATCTACCCAACCGGGTCACCTGGAGAATTAAGTAATTCTGATGGTGCAAAATACCCGGCACCCTGACTGGTAAATGGTCGGTACTGGCTAAGCATCAGCTCCTGTCCCCTTCTCAGGCCGGCCTGTGCCTTTCCAGCCTAGCACCCCTCAACGCTGGACACAGGCCCTGGGAGGGGAGGCCGGGCATGCCTGTCTGCTGGCCATCGCGGGAGGGCCCAGGGCCTGGGGCGTGGAAGGCTGTGTTCCTCCCCACTCTGCGCCTTGGTGCTGCGGTTCCGCCTTCGTCATGGTCGCCTGGGCCCTGGCGTCCTCCTTTACAAAATAGGGAGCCTGAGGCCAACGCACAGGCCACTGGGCAGTGCCCACTCGGTGTCCGGCACACAGGAGGCGTGCCGATTGTTATGACCACACACACACCTGGCAACGGCTGACCCAGCAGACGCAGATGGGGTGCTGCTGACTTGCCGGTAGAGGAGCAGGGAGCATTTCTGGGAGGGAGCACTGGAGCTGGGTCAGGCCTGGTCTGCTGGCGGGAACCCTGTGAGCAGACAGGAAGGGCCGCTGAAGCTGACCCAGCAGCCCTCTCAGACTGACCACCAGTCAGGACAGTCGGGGCGTCTCCAAAGGCTCCTGAGCCCAGCGGGAGGCGCCGGCCTTTGCTCTGCTCCATGGGCAGACGGCGCCATCCCCGAGGCAGCAGCGTGGCGGCCAAGCAGGAGTCTGGGCTCTGGGGGCACACGTTTCGGGACTCGAATCCTGGCACAGCCTCTGAATGATCTGGGGTGAGCCCTTGTCTGTGGAACGGAAGGAGCGGTCGTTCCAGACCCAAAGCTAAGGTTCCTCCCAGGGCTGTGGACCCGCGGGCCCGTCTCGGGGAAGGGGGGGCATCCCGGGTAGCGAGCTGAGCAGTAGCCCTGGCTTCTTCCCACTAGGTACCCACAGAAATCTCCACTCCCAGGTATGACAATCGGAAATGTCTCCAAACATTGCCAAACGCCCCCTGGGGGACAGACTGTTCCCTGTCTAGAAGCACTGCCGTGGGGGAATCAAGACTGCCCACTGCACCCAAAACTGTGCGCGAAGAGATCTTTGGGGAGCGTTAGCGGGTCATTCGTCTTTCTAGGGAGCCCACAGGATGTGCCCCTCTCCTGGGCAGAAGGGGCATTCCCAGCTCAACGAGCAGGTGAGGGAGGAGGCGGCGGGCAGGAGAAGGCCCCGTCTGGGTGGACACCTGAAGACCCAGGCACACCCCCGCGGGCGTGTCTTCTTCGGGAAACCCCCTTTGGGGAAGCTCAAGATGCCCCTTCATCGCAGGGAACCGTAGCCCACCCCGGGCTCGGGACCCCTCACCTCCGTGGGCTGCCCTCCTGTTGGCAGAATCAGTTCCACGAAGTTGGGGCCAGTACCTCAGGGGCCATTCCCGCCAGCGTGGTGTCTGCCCCAGTGGCGTGTTCCATCCGCGCTCCTGGTGGTCGGCCTCAGCATCCTCGTGATGTCATCGTGCTCTGTGACCCCGCTGGGTGGGGGCAGGCCTGCCGGGGGCCCCGCGAACACAGAGAGGAGGGTGGTGCACCCCACTTTGGAGGAGCCGGCAGCAGGAGTTCCATACCAGGCGACCCAGGTCCCGAGGGCCGAGGATGAGCTCGCTCCGCCAGGCTTGTCCAGGTCAGTGCAGCGCTGGCACCCCGTGAGCTTGGGACAGCGATGGCCTCTGGTCGCCCTGAGTCATCCGACTGTGGCGCAAACCTGGAGACGTCCTGGCCGGCAGAGCCAGGCGGAAGGTGCAGAGGCTCCGAGCCACCTGTGCGTCGGCGGGAGGGCTGCAGGGCGTGGGCAGGCCCTCGGGCCCCCCAAGCCGCCCCAGGGCCACACCGGGAAGGCCGTCCGAGCTTTCAGGGGTCCTGAGAAGGAAGAAACTGCCCATGGCAGTGTCCAGAAAACAGCCAGGCCCGGCCGGCGTGGCTCAGCGGATTGAGCCGGCCCGTGGACTGAGGCCCCTGCTGCATTCCCGGTCAGGGCACATGGCCGGGTTGCCGGTCCATGTCTCTCTCTCAAATTGATGTTTCTGTCTCTCTCTATAAAAATCAATAAAACATTTTTTAAAAAAGAAAACACAGTCAGGAGCTTTCATGCTGCATCAGGCTGGGAAACGGGAGGTGAATAGGGTCGCACATCCTCCTTGTGGGGAGACAGGATGGCAGGGGAGAACCGCAGGCCCCCCATCTCTCAGCCCCACCAGATTCCAGCCCTGCCCCCCCCCCCAGGCAGGTACAGCCAGGGCAGGGGAGGCGGGCGCTGTGACAGATGTTGCTGGTGCCCAGTGGAGGGCGAGAGTCGACCTCTCCAGCCCCCCCTCCCCCCACCTAAGCCTGGAGCGGGGACTCTGGGTTAGGCTGTTGGGTGTGGCTCCTGCCTCTTTCTGCCGCTTACCAGCCCTGTGACCTTGTCAAGTCACTTAACCTCCTGTGGCCTTAATGGAGCCACCACCTGCTGGTCTCTGCACCACCCCACCACCCCAGGCCTGGGCACCTGCCCTGCACCCCGCACTCCCGGGGGGGGGGGCGACCGGCCGTGGCCCTGCAGTGTTCGCCTGCGCGCTCTGACGCCGCCTGTTGTCCTCCGCAGAGGCCCTACGACATCCACTCGGCCACGCCCGTCGATGAGATCCTCAACATGTTCAAGGCGGAGCGGGTGCGCTACTCGTCCACGTGGTGCAAGGGGATGGTGGCCCTGCTGAAGAAGGTAAGGGGCGGCCACCAGCCCGCCCGGCGGGCAGCCAGGGCACAGCGCAGAAACAGGCGCACTGGGGAGTGAGACGGGGTGACAGACAAGGAGGTGAGCTCAGCATGTGGCGTTCGAGGTCACACAGCCGCTGGCCGGTGGAGTCCGGCTTCGAGTCCCGTCTGACAGCAAAGCCCAGACTCCTTGATGCCAGCACAAGCTCCCAATACAGAGACACTTAACGCAGGTGGCTCTTGGCACTGTTTGCTACAAAGTGTCTTTTCGTCACTGAGCTTTAAGAAACTGGGCATCTCCTGACGTTTTGCAGGAACTGTTGCTGTTACAATGGAGCAGCGGTGCCCAAAGTGTGGTCTGTGGGCCCGCGGGGTCAGCACCCCCGAGCCTGTCGGAAAGGCAGGTTCTCGGAGTCAGACCCCGGGCCGGTGTCGTGCTGTCATGAGCTCTGTGGGTGGCCGATGCACTTGTGAGCAGCGGGCGGCGGTGCCCTCCCTTTGCGGCGAGTCCCCCACGGTGGGTAGAGTTCAGTGTGCTGACAGCGCCGGCTGTCACCAGCCAACACCGGCTGCGGAGCAGCATGTCCTGGGCCTGTGCTGGTCTGCGCGCTGCCTCCCTGCAGCTGGTCTGATGCGGAGGAGCCGTGTTCCCATAGCACAGATGAGAGCACCGAGGCTGAGGAAGGCGAACGGTTCCGCCGGTGCCACGGGCTGTTGACGGGCAGAGGCGGGAGTACCCAGCTGTCCGCACCCCGAGCCCACCCCGCCGAGAGGATGCGCTGAGGTACCGTGGCTGGCGCGCTGTAGAGGAGTCACTCCTGGCCCTGAGGAGTCAGTGGTTCTTGCCCTCTGATCACAGTCCCCGGAAGCCCTCCTGCCTGCCGTGCCTGTCCCTCCAGGCCCTCCACGCGCCAGACAGCCGTCCACCACTGAGCCCCTGCACGGCAATGAAACGGGTCTCTGTTTAAATCAGCACCCTTGTCCCTGGCCGGTTTGGCTCAGCAGTTGGAGCATCAGCCTGCAGACCAGAGTCCCAGGTTCGGTTCCCGCTAAGGGCACGGACCTCGGTTGCAGTGTGTCCCCGGCCCCAGTTGGGGTCGTGTGGGTGGCAACCACTCGATGTGTCTCTCTCATGTCCATGTCTCTCTCTCTCTCTTCCCCCCTCTCTTTCTCCCATGCTATCTGAAAATAAATGCAAAAATGTCTTTGGGTGAGGATAAAAAATAAAAAAATAAACCAGCACCCCTTGATTGGGGGCATCCCCTAAAGAGAGGCCGCCATGACCAGCAGATACGACCCCGCCAGGCGTCGCTCACTTGGTGTGACTGAAGCCCACTGTCTGGGCACAGCGGGAGATGTCTGCAGTGACAGATGGAACAAACGGTCAGGGGCTCTGACTCCGGCTCCCACCTGCCGGCAGCGGGGTGTCGACCTGCCCTTGCTGTATGCTGTCCCTCCTAGTCCCCTGGGATCTCATCCTAGCCGTGAGCTGGAGTGTCACCACCCTTCCCCCGCAGGGACAGGGCCTCCGGCCGCTCACCCGAGGCACACGCAGTCAAGCGGCGTCCCCCGCGAGGACTCCCGCCCCTAGTTTTCTCCCCTCTGCGTAGGGGAGCCGAGCTCTGGAGCCTGTCTGGACGCGGGGTGTGGTGTGCGGCCGTGTCCACACTGCGTCACCCTCACTAGCAGACATCTTTCAGAAGAAGCTAAAAAATGTCCCCTTGGTGACAAGTGAGGTCAGTGCACCAGGCCACAGAGGTCACTTCGTACTGTCCAGAGTAAACTTGATGACACTTTTATGTCCCATTATCAAGCTGAAAGTCCTAAGAGGAGGTGGCTGGTTCTTCTTTGTCGCTGGAAGTCTCTGCAGACATCAGAGCGAGCGAGGTGGCAGGCCACAGTGCCACTGTCCCCGAGGGGAGCGCGGCAGCTACATACTCAGGCCCTGCCCAGAGCCCCTGGCTGGACGGCCTGTGGAAGCAGCCTGGCCCCTCGGTCCCTCCCTGCTAGAGACGAGCGTAGGTGACGCTTCCGGTGACAGCATTCGAGATGGCCCGGCGGGCCGGAGCGTGAGAAGCAGAGGCCCCTGCATGTCCCCAAGACCTCGCGGTCAGAGCCTCGCTAACCTCGGTGGTCACGGCTCAGCCAAGGACGTTTGCCTTGTGTCCCCAGCTCCTGGCCAAGGACCCCGAGAGCCGCCTGTCCAGCCTCGGCGACATTCAGAGTGCACCCTACTTGGCCGACATGAACTGGGACGCGGTGTTCGAGAAGGCGCTGACGCCCAGCTTTGTGCCCAACGTGAGTAGGGGTCCTGTCTGTGGTGTCCCGCGCGGCGTGAAGGAGGCCCCGGTGCTGGCCGGGGAGCCGCTGCTCTGAGATCCAGTGCCGTGGGCAGAGCTGCCTCCTTGGTGCCTGTCCCCATCCTGTTGTCTGAATGGACACCCAGGCTCAGCGAGACACACACTCACACACTCACACCACACACACTAACACATACATAGACACTCACATGCATATACACACACACATACACTCACGCATACACACACATATACACTCACACGCATACACATATACACTCACACGCATACACACACATATACACTCACGCATACACACACACATATATACTCACACGCATATACACTCACACGCCTACACACATATACACTCACACGCATACACACATATACTCACATGCATATACACTCACACGCCTACACACATATACACTCACACACATACACACATACACACACATATACACTCACACGCATACACACACACATACACTCACATACACACATACATGCACACACATGTACATATACACATACACACATACACTCACACACACATATTCACACACACACTCACAAACATACACACACCACTCACACATACACCACATACACACAAAGACACACATACACCACACACAAACACACACCACACACATACACACACTCAAACAAATACACATACACCACACACACAAACACACCCACATACACTCACACACACACCGCAAACTCAGAAGCAAAGGGACTTGTTGAGGCCACAGGCTGGTCGGTGGGGATCCCAGTTCCCCGGAGTGGGTTTCCTATCAAGTCATCTTAAAGACGGTTGTTTCTACGAGAATCCAAGGCTCCAGTCCGCACACATGGCGGTTGACACCGGGCACCTTCCCGAGCGCAGATCCGCCCGCAGCCTCGTCTGCGCTCCGGACTCACGGCTCGGACCGCAAAGCCTGGTGACACTAGTTTCTTCACCTCTCTCCCAACGAGCACACGCCGTGTCCCTGCCGTCTAGCCTGGCACAGAGTCCTTGGAGGTCTGGCCCTGTGGTCCTCTGAGCCCACCCTCCTCCCCACTGCCCTCGAGCCAGCCACAGACATGCTGGCCCGATGCTCACAGAACACTCCGCCTCTGTTCTCCAGGCCTGGGCACCTGCTGTTGCCCCTGCCTGGCCCTCTGTCTGCCCCCTAGACTGGCTCTCGCTAGGGGCCCGCCCCAGGGAAGTCACCCCAGGGCTGCCTCTGATCGAGGGCTCCCTGCCCCCATCCACCCCTCAGAGAGCAGGGGGAAACAAATGGGGTGTGGAGGCCAGGTGCCCGGTGCAGGCCGAGCACAGAGTGGCTGCCCAGTCACTGCCCTTCCCCTTTCTCCCCTTGTACGAGTTTGGGGATTTTACTGAGCCAACTGGGAGCTGTGTGTGTGTGTGTGTGTGCAGTGTGGGGTGCGTGGTGAGTGTGTGGTGTGTTGTGTGAGAGTGTGTCATGGCCGTGCTCATTAATAAACCCACCGCTGTCATCCTGTCCCTTGGCTGCTTCCTTCAGAATGCACGTGCTGGCCGTGCCAGAGGAACATGCTAGTGTTCTCCGCTGCCCTCTTCCGCCGAGCTCAGGCCGGGTACACACGCCGGGGACGGGTGCCGTCCTGCATGGGCGCCAGGCTGCCCGATTCCTTCTTCCTTTGCTGCTGTTCGTCCTCCGAGCCGTGCAGCGGCCTGGGGGACCCGGGGGGCCAGCATGTGACTCCTCTGCCAAGGATGGGAGCCTACCTGCTTCTGCGGTCCTCCCCACCCCCATCCGCACACTCACACAGGCACACTCAACCCCACACACACTCGTGCAGGGGACTGTGCTTCCATCACCCAGAAGCCTGCTCTTGTCCACCGGGCAGTCTGTCTCCCTCCTTCAGACTCAACATGAAACGCAGCGCCTGGCCCGTGGGAGGGGCCGGCACCGGTTCTGGAGGAGAGGCAGGCTCAGCACTGCCTGCTCGGGGCACTGCCCGGCCAGCCCCTCACCGGGACCACAGCCTCTCTGGTCCCCGCTGCAGGGGTGCCCAGGTCTACGTTAGTGGTTAGTAACGTCCCATCTCAGGGCATCTGCCGTCCTCCTGAGACTTCAGAGAGTGGGACCGTGCAGTGTTGTCCGGCCTCTGCCTGAGAGAGGCCCCAGAGCAATGGGTGGCCTTAGAAGGCACCAGAGGCCTCAGTGTGCCTTATCATGTGAGTATGAATGGACGAGTGAGTGATAATAGTCACCAGGACGGAGTGTGTTCTGAGTGCCCAGCACACGTCCATCATCTCTGTACCCTTCACAACAGGGAGGTGAGTCTGTCAGTGTCTCAGGTCAGGCAGCTTGCCACGATTACTCAGTGAGAAATGGACAGAGCCAGGCTTGCCCTCAGGCAGTCTGGATCCAGAGCCTGCATGGAAATGGATGGATGGATGGATGGATGATGGATGGATGATGGATGGATGGATGGAAGATGGATGGATGATGGATGGATGGATGATGGATGGATGGATGGTGGATGGATGGATGGAAGATGGATGGGTGATGGATGGATGGATGGATGGATGGATGGATGGAAGATGGATGGATGATGGATGGATGGATGATGGATGGATGATGGGTGGATGGATGATGGGTGGGTGGATGGATGGATGGATGGATGGATGGATGAATAGCAGATAACTCAGGCCAGGGAAGACTTGGGTCTGAAATCCGACCTGCTTACCGGGAGAGATTGTATTTCCAGAGCTGTTGATGTTATAACCATTAAGCTTCACTGCCCAAGGGGACTGGTATCCTGGGCTGGGTCTCAGGCCACCTGAGGCTTCAGATCCAAGATCTGGAAAGCAGGAAGATAGATTTCTCCTGACCACAGTGGGTGGGGCCCTGGCTGTCAGCAGGGTCAGGCCTGGGTCTCCAGCTACAGGAGGGACAGGGAACCAGGCCTGGAAATTGGGGAGAAGTTGATGAGAAATGGCATTTTTAAATTGAATGAGTAAAAGTGAGATTTATAGAAAAGAGAGTGATGGCATGAGAAGGTGTGTGTGATAAAATACAGGGAAATGTTAGACTGGAAAACTGAACTCAGCCCCATGAATGAACATCCACGGGAAGGAGACTGAGGAAGGATGTGGATGTGGATGGTGGGGCTGCCCAGAGTGGGGGAGGGGTCATGCAATGGGAATGTGTTGTTCCTCATCATCAGAAAAAAAACACAACTGATATAACCCACAGTAGTTGGTCATCTTTGCTTGTTGAATGAATGAATGATTGCATGAACGAATGATTGAACAAATGAATGAATGAATGCTTGCATGAATGAAGGAATGAATTAATGAATGAACAAATGAACGAATGAATGAATGAATGCATGAGTGAAGATAAAATCCAGTGATATGTGAAACAAAGACAAACCATGTTTTTCTTTCAGAAAGGGAGACTGAATTGTGACCCCACCTTTGAACTTGAAGAAATGATTCTCGAATCCAAGCCACTTCATAAAAAGAAGAAGAGGTTGGCAAAGAACAGGTCCAAGGACAGCACGAAGGACAGCTGTCCCCTGGTGAGCGCCCTCTGGGGGCAGGCCCCGGCAGGACAGGAACCCTGCACTCCCCGGGATGCGATTGCTGGAGGCTGCTTTTTAGACAGAGGGAGGTGTGTCGGGTCACCCATCTGGACACCGCAGGATGGGTGGTCTTACACTGCACGGGAGGTGAATGCGCCCTGGCGGGGTACACGTGTGCTCATTCATGTTAGCACCATCCTGCGTGTGGAACCTCGTGTCCCCAGGCAGGAGTACAGTGCCGAGTCCTCAGCGCCCTTTGGGAAGGTTTCGTGCTGTGGAGACAGCCAGGGCCCCTTGTGATGTCGGGGGGCCCTGGGCACGCTGGCTTTATGGGCCGCTGTGTTGGTTTTCCAGGCTGCCGTGGAGTGTCTCCAACTTGGTGGCTTAAAATTAGTGAAATCGATTCTCTCACCATTCTGGGGGACAGAAGTTCAAGACCAGTTGTTCACAGAGCCAGGCCCTCTCCAAAGGCTGTCGGGGGGGTCCTTCTCGGCCAGTCTGGCCTCTGTGGCGGCCAGCAGTCTTGGTCCTTGGCTTGTAGCCGCGTCACTTTGTCTCGGCCTCCGTCGTCACTGGAGCTGTCCTGTCCGTGGCTGGTCTGCACATGGCCTTCCCTGAAGGACACCTGTCACTGGACTGAGGGCCCACCCCCCGGCACTAGGCCCCCATTGTAACTAGTTACAGCGGCACCAGCTCTGTCTCCACATAAGGTCACGTTCACTGGTGGGGGTTGAGGACGTCAACATATATTTTGGAGGGAGGGGCAGAATTCAGCCCACCACTGCCCTTCCTCCACAGACGTATTTTAAGAGTTCTGCCTATGACTGCAGCGGTATGAGGATGAATACAACTTTTAATGCCAAAAGTGTTTTTCCTGCTTACTGTGAAAGAAACGAGAACATCTTTCTGCCCTGGCCAGTTAGGGTCAGCAGCGAGAGACTGTCCTGAGGACAGAAGGGCGCAGGTTCCACTCCTGGTCCGGGGCATGGACCTGGTACAGGATCCATTCCTGGCCCCAGGTCGGGGACACGTGGGAGGCAACCAATCCATGTATCTGTCTCACACTGATACTTCGCCCTACCCCCTTCCACTCTATCTAAAAATCAATGGGAAAATATCCTCAGGTGAGGATTAACAAAATAGAAAACAAAAGACAAAACAGCTCTGTAGACCCCGAAAGGATGGCGGGCGAGGCCCTGTGCCCGGGCCCCTGCGTGTGTGGATGAGGGCGCACCGGTGGGCTCTGCCAGGTGTGCGGTTACAGGCACGGTCAGACGGGAGTGGGACCTGCATTTCCCCCTCGTGCTCGGTGACGCCTGACGGACATTCACGTGTCAGGAAGCCACACTCAGGATTTTCCACCCACGATCCACCCCCACGTGGTTTCCACGTTGGATTTAGTGGCCTCAAAGTGAGGAAACCAGCCCCAGGCGACCGGTCCCGTTTCGGTCAGTCTCTGCTCCTCCTCGTCCTTTGTCCCTCACTCACGGTCACCTGTGTGTCCCTCTGACAGAATGGACACCTGCAGCAGTGCCTGGAGGCCGTGCGGAAGGAATTCATCATATTCAACAGAGAGAAGTAAGTCCTCTGGGCCCCGCTGGGCAGAGCCCTCGCAGACCACGGGGCTCCCGGGAAGGCAGCCGGGACCCGGCAGGGGGGCAACCCGCCACCCTGTGCGGCTGAGCAGGTGCTGGCGTCCCCTCTCTGGGCCTCTGCGCCTCGTGTGAAGCGGGGGAGCGGCTCGGAGCTGGCCCAGGGGTGTCGGCACAGACAGGCGGAGGGCAGGTGGGAAGGGCTGAGCTCCCCCTGAGGCACGGTTCTCACCTTCCCTGGCCTCCCTCCAGCCTTGGCTGACGGCACCGCTGCCCTGCATGGTGGCAGTTATCAGATTAAATGAGGCTGCAATGGGTGCGGCTGTGCTGGACCCCAGCGTCTTGGGCTGGCAGGAGACAGGACGATGGTGCTGAGCTGGGAGGGCTGAGCCCGCTGAAGAACTGCCCTCACGCGGCTGCTCAGCACAGGGAGCAGAGGGCCAGGCTGGTCCCAGCCACGTAGCTCCTGGGCTCATCTTCTGCGACGGTCAGTCAGCGCTGGGGCGGGCGCAGGGGTGGGCTCCTGGGGGGAGCCAGAGTGCTGCAGGCAGGACCGAGGGCGGATCAGCCCATCTGAACAGCTGAACGAGGCCCTGGGCTTGCAGAGACGGCCAGCTCTGCGTCCTGCCCTACGAGGTCAGAGGGTCGCATGTCACGTTGACCCCCCACACGGTGACCCGTCTTCCAGCCGCCGGGGTCACGTGCTGTGGCTCCGGGCAGCCCAGGCAGTGGCTCCCAGCAGGTGCCAGGCTCAGCTGGGTGTCAGGGAAGCTTCCGGGGCGCCCTTCCCGGCGGAGCCCTGAAGGTGCGAGGGGACAGGCGAGGAACTCCAGCAGTGAGGACGGTACGCGGAGACGCGGGCCGGGATGGCCGACGTGGGGCCTGAAGCTGGCAGGAGTTAAGTTCCGGAGCAGGCCCGGAGGCGGGCAGTGGCGGAGGGGGGCGCCCACTGGGCAGCGTTCAGGTTCTGGCCCGTGGGTGGGTGGGCGGGCACCCCGGGGGCTGGGGAAGGTGGAGGAGGCAGCGGCCTGCCGTTCACCCTGGGAGGCCACAGCTCGCTGGCGGTGTCAAGCGAGCCCAGGCTCACGCACCAGGCCGGGCCGGCAGTCGCACCTACCGGGTGAGTCCCCTTGGCGTCTGCTCGGGCCAGCAGAACAGGAGAGGCCTCCGCAGACTTGGGGAAGGGGTGCTGGCGTGGCGGTGGTGTTGGGTTCCTCACTGCTCCCTGCAGTCCCGCCGGCGGAGGCTCACACCCCCGCCCTGCCTTAGCGACGCGGGCCCGGGAACTCCTCCAACCAGCCCTCGGGAGCGCCTCCAGGCAGGCTCACCTCGGGTCCTCGTCCCTCCGTTCCGCGTGGGCCGAGGGGTCCTCAGAGCCCGACACAGTGGGAGGCTGAGCGGTGGGGACCAGAGGGAAGCAGGTACGTTTCACACTCTGCTCTGTGCCAAGCAGACTGCAATTTAGAACCTGAAGAATCCAAATGTTTCCTTTTACAAGGAAGATGAGTTCTCCCGCCTTGAGTCGCTTAGGGGTGGCGCCGGCGGCCTCGGCAGAAACACGCAGGGCCCCCAGCCAGCGCGGTGTCGGTTCTCACGCCAGGTGAACGGGCCAGGGGAAGGTGGCAGGGCCGCCCTGCCGGGCTGAGAGTTGTGGCCGTGGGTTCGAAGTGAGACAGTTACCAGGTGTTGGCAAAATGATGTGAGGGGGGAGCCCTTTTCCAGACGGGCACCGAGGATGAGCAAGTGCAAAAGCAGGAGGACAGAAGAGGATCTGCAGGGGCCTGTGGGCGTGGGGTTCGACTGCATCCTGCTCTCTCATGCGTGCTGCTGCCCACCCTCAGGCTCCCCCCACCCCCCGTGGCCCTGAAGGCTGACAGGCTGCCTGTCGGCACCTCCCCCACTCGCCACACAGTGTCCAGGCGGAGGGCTTGGCCGCGTCCCAGCAGGATGCCGTCTGAGCATCGCCCCTCATCAACCTCCACCTGGTCCACAGTGCACGTGGGCAGGGCCGGGTGGCACCCCCCACCCTCCCTGTGAGGGTGCTCCTCCTCCGCAGCAATGCCTGTGAAGGTCCATGCATGAGGTATGTGTCCCCCACGGCTACAGTGAAGTTCCAGCTGCCAGGACCTCAGAATGTGACCTTGTTTGGAAATAGGGTAGTTGTGGACCAAGTTCATTAAGATGAGGTCATAATGGAGAGGGGCCCTTAATCCAACGTGACGGGTGTCCTTGTAAGAAGAGAAGAGACTCGATACAAGCAGAAGGCCACATGCTGATGGAGGCGGATTGTCGCTACCCCCCCGGAATGCCCAGGACTGCCAGCCGCCGCCAGAAGCCGCAGAGGGGCACGGGGCAGGTTCTCCCTCACAGCCCCCACCACCCTGCCCACACCTGGACTCATTCCGGCCCCAGAACTGGGAGACAGGACATGTCTGCCACAGGCCTGCTCTGTGGCTGTGGGACACGTTCTCACAGCTGCCCAGACTCGGGGGGAATAGGCCCAGAAATCTGCATTTTAACATTCTTCAAGCCACTCTGGGACCTATAGCTTGACAGCTTCTGCAGGGGACCAGGGTGTGACGGAGCCTCTCGTTGGTCCTGAGCTGATGCCCATCCAGAATCACAGCCCTCTCCCTCCCTCGCCCCGGTCGGGGTCTGCGACTCTAGGCCCTGGTGGCAGGATGCTCCTGACGGCCTCGGTCCCCTGGAGGGCTACCCACCTCTGCACAGGCCGAGTGCGCGTCCTCCGCTGGAAAACGCTCCTGGGCGGGGATGGCCCCTCCCACACGTGACGGGGAAGCCACCATGGGCCTGAAGTGCCGCGGGGGGCACAGGCCAGGTGCCAACCACGTGGGAGATTTTCCTTCAGCCCCTTGGCAGACGTGCCGTTATCCTGGATGGGGACCCATGGACACAGAGTAGATGTCGTCGGACTGTGTCCTCGGGGTGCTCGGAGCCGGGGGGGCCACTGTGGGTTTGTGCGGGACACGCCCTGACTCTGTCCTCTCTGCACAGTTTCTAACCAGAGAACCAAACTGTAACTCAGCTGCCCCGTCCTCTGGAAACGCAGCTCCTCATTGGCGGATGGCCTCAGCCGGCCAGCTGCCCCGTCCTCTGGAAACGCAGCTCCTCATTGGCGGATGGCCTCAGCCGGCCGACGGCCCGGAGCCAGGGAGTGTGCTCCCGGCCCGCCAGGCTCCCACGGCCTGGGCAGCTCCGTCCTTTGAGGGAGGTGTGGGGGCTGCTCCTCTGTGTTTGGCCAGAGAGCTGAGCTGGGTGGTTTTTCCAAAAGGTCTTCTCAGGGGCATCTGACGAAAAAGGTTTTGCAGAATAAGAAGCCCCTGGCGGGAAGAGTGTGGCACACTGTGCTTTCTGTCCGTGTCACACCGTAAAGAAATAAAAGCACTTAAAATTGCAGTACAGTTACCTTTGGAGCCCTTGAAAATAGAACATTTAAAAAGTGGATACTGGTGAAGATGGCAGTGGGCAGGACCAGAGGGAGGGCGAGTGTGTGAGAGAGTGAGTGAGTGTGAGAGTGTGAGTGGACGTGAAGGTGGACGACCAAACCCGAGCAGAGCAGAGCCGCAGGGCAGAAGGTCCCTGTGCTGTGGACGGAGCAGTCGGCTCCCCGGTAAGCAGCCCTTCGGGGTGCTTCTCCCTGCGCCGCGGGGAGGTCCCACCATTTTGGAAGATCCTGGGTCTTCCGTGGGAGGAGGCAGTGGGAGCGGCTAGGGCCCAGCAACCTGAGCCCACCAGCGCATCTGGCACCATCGGACCAGTGGACACCCTGTGTCAACACAGACCTGTGCACAGTAGCGGAGCTGCCAAGGTGCCTGCTGCGGACGCTGCAAACGGCTGGGAGCCCAGCACCTTCCCCCACAGTAGCAGCCCGATCAGAGTCATGATATACCCCCTGCAACAGAGACTGGGGAGCAGACATCCATCCCCAGGCAACAGAAGCACAGACCAGCAGCTGAGACCCATCCCCAAAATCTACAGCAAAGGCTGAGCAGGAGCTGAGCCCCACCGGGCAGCAGAGCTCCCCAGCCGCCAGCAACGGGACCTGGGGCTCCACAGGGGCCTGGGCAACCTAGCAGCCCACAAGTGCAGTGGGGAGCCGGGTCCCGAGAGGGCCCGGTGTGATCCTGCTGCAGGGTGCAGGGGCACCAGACAGACCTGTGCGACCCAGCTGCCCATGGACCTGTGGGGTGCTGGGGCACCAGACAGACCTGTGCGACCCAGCTGCCCATGGACCTGTGGGGTGCTGGGGCACCAGAGAGGCCTGAGGAAACCAGCTGCCCACAAGATCGGCAGGGAGCCAGGGCTCCAAAGGGACTGTGCGATCCAGCTGCCCACAAGATCGGTGTGGAGTTGGGTCTCCAGTGAGGACTGTGTGACACAGCTGCCCATGGTGCAGGCAGGGAGCACGGCTCCAGCAGGGCCTGAGCTATGCAGCTACAGGTGGCCCCAGGGACCATCTGGGAACACAGCTCCAGAGGGGCCCAAGTGATCCAGCAGCAGCACCTACCAGGACACACCAATACCAGCTCCCGGTAGTCAGTCCTCCAGGATCCACAGCAGGGAAGAGACAACACGCAACAAAACAGTCTGGGAGGCACAGTAGCCTTATTTGATATATGGTGAGCTGCATACACATCCAAACATCCCACAGCGGGTCTAGGACTACCAGACGACTAAAATGGGGAGACAAAGAAACAACACCCAAAGGAAAGAAAAAGAAGAATCACCAGAAAAGGAAACAGGAAATGGAAGACAGCAACTTGTCAGATAAAGAATTCAAAGCAATGATTATAAGGGTGCTCAAACAATTTGGTAAGAACTACAAGCAACTTAATAAGAATTATGAAGAGCTCACTGGGAACTACTTCAGCTTAAAAAAAAGAGGTAGAAGCTATGCATAAAACTCAAGAGGAAATAAGAATGACATAGCTGTTATGAAAATACCTTAGAAGGGTTCAATAGTAG